TTGGTGCTGCACTTCAGTTCTCCTTTCTTTAAGTGGAATTTTGTAATTTTGGGAGCTTTGGTAGCTCCTTCATAACTTCTTAGGCTATCAAACAGCTAGGTCTAATTCTTCAGCTGGTCCTAAATAGAACGATGAAATGAGAATTCTGCTCTTAAAGGTATACACTGGGATAAACTTGTTTATAGTGGGTATGTATTTTGACAAGGAAATATACTGCCAACCCAAAGTAATGTGGTTTATCAGCCTGCTGCTTCTTGGGAGAAAGATGAATAATCTATTCCTGTGTTTATAACCTACCAGTTATAAATCAGCTCTGACTTAATGATACATAACAATGCAATTCTAGATTTATTCTCAGAAATAGAGATTTCCCACTCAGATATGAGGGTAACTGTAGTGGCATCAAGGATGAAGCTTCTTAGTGTTGCCACTTAATTAAATTTTAACGTTTATTAAGAGGTGAATGAAGGTTTACAGCAAAAGTTGGTATTCCATTCAATGATTCCTATGTTTTGGTTTACAATTTATATAAAGAATTACAATCCGGGAGACTTAGAAAGATGGGTTAAATAATGTATACTGCATTGAAACAAATGAGGGAGAGAACTGTTTAAAAGGGATATGTGATTAGGTATTTTTGTCATGATGGGAATTCAGAATGAAGGCTACATAGTGGAGTGGACCTGGGGGGAGGGATTGTAAAACAATGAAAGAATTTTTCTTTTACTTTTCCAAGAGGGTAGTGTACTAGGGGTGGGGAGAGGGTTGGGAGACAAGAAAAGTGCAACAGTGAATGAATGGAAATCCAAAGTCTCTGTAAATTTTAATTGAAATTAATAATTTTTAAAAAAAATTAAAAAAAGAATTACAATCCCTACATTGTATCATTACTTTCCTCCTTCTGATTCTTATTGTCATTCATTGTTTGGACATCTTGCTATTTGACTTCTGAGCTTTATTCCTAGTCAAATACTCTCCCTGTAATCTTGTGTGGTTCATTAATAAAAGGACTGATTACCTCCCTGATATTTTTTCACTGTATAGATCTGTAAATTGTTTGGTTGAAAGTTTTACTACATGGGTGAGTTCAGTTTAAGCACAAAGAATGGTAAACTATGTATAAGCATTTTCTTAGTAATTTTAATATCTGTAAACATTTAAGCATCACCCCTCAGAATATTAACTACCAAAGACAATATCGAAGATATCCAAAATATTTTAACCATATCTTTATAAAAAGATGCTATAAATCATCTTACATTATGAGTACTTGGTAATATACCTTAGAAATTGCTTAAATTGACACAGAAATAAAGGTGTAACTTAAGTTCTTCATGTGAAATTTATTTCATAAAATATAAGGGAATATCCACAGCAACATAGTATAGTTCATTGCTCTTGTTTTTTGAGAATGTATAACTAAATATTTATTTAAGTCTCATTTACTGTGCTTGGAAGATTATACTCTTTCCAATGACAGTCTGCTGTTTGTAAAGGATGCTATATAGGTCATTAGATTTCATATATAGATAATTTATAAAGAAAACATTGATAAAATAATAAAAAACTTTACAAAAGCATACGAAAAATAAAAACTGGATGATAAGTTTGTCTTTGTATTAAGAAAATAAAGATCATAAATAGACATTAAGAATTAGGAAATATTTTTTGTAAGACTATTGGGTGTTTTTTTTTTCTTTTTATATCTCTTCTGTAGAACAGATTAGACTGATTGAATTTGAATACATATAATTCTCAAAGAGCTACAATTTTATAGATTCAATTTCTTCATCTAGTTTTTTGAAAATTACATATGTAGGAGCTGAAAACAGGTGCACATACAAAACAAAGAAGGAGCACATTGGAAATGCAAAAGAGTTTACAAATTTTGGCCCGAATTTTCATGAGACAGTAAGAAAGAACTGTAAAGAATGTTAGCAAAAATTCAAAAACACTTTTAAGTATTGTATACCCTCTCCTTTGTAAGAATTTGTGACTGTCAATTTTGTACTTATTTTTAGTATAGAATATTTGAACAGGATGTCATACAATCTTCAGACACTGTGAACTTTTGGTACTTCTACAAAATAAGGACTGATCCTGGTCAATATTTTAATTATTTAAAAGCTAGATATAGTTTTAGCATTATATTCAAAATCTCTTTATTTTAAAAAAACTAATCATGCATATATTTTCACAATAATTATAACTTATTTTCAGTGTATTTTAAAAGTTGTTGTTTTTTTTGTTATTGTTATGTGCCATCAAGTCATCTGAGACTCAAAGTGACCCTTTGAACAACAATTCTGGTGTTGTTTTTTGAGAATGTATAGGTAAATATACATTTAAGTGTCATTTATTGTGCTTGAAAGGATATACTATTTTTAATGACAGTTTGCTGTTTGTGAAGGATGCTATATGGGTCATTATATTTCATGTATAGATAATACCAATTTATAAAGAAAACATTGATAAAATTACAAAATGATAAAAAGACTCACTGACTCCAACACTCCAGTCTCTGTGTCAATCCACCTCATTTGGGATTTTCCTCTCCTGCACCATCCCTCCACCTTTCCAAGAATGATGTCCATCTCCAAGGACCAGTCCTTTTTGGCCACATGCCCAAAGTATATGAGACAAGCTTCCAAATCCTATCCTTCAAGGAGAAACTTGGTCTCACCCTCTCCAGGACAGACCTAGTTGTTTTCTTGGCAATCCAAGAAGACTCTTTTTCAGCACAACAACTCAAAGACATTAATTCTTTCTTCCTCAGTCATTGTTCAGCTTTTGATGCATAGCAAGTAACTGCAGACTATTGCCTGGATCAGGCACACCTTAGTCTCTAGACTGACATTGTTGCATTTCAGTACTCTGGAGAGGTTACTGACAGCAGATTTTCCCAGTGCAATTCATCTTTTGACTTCCTGACTGCTGCTGCCAAGAGTGTTGACTGTGGAGCTGAGCAAGCTGTAATTGTCAACAACCTCAATCTCTTCTCCATCAATCATGGTGCTGACAATTGGCCCAGTGGTGAGAATCTTCGTATTCTTGATGTTGAGACAGGAAATATCCTTGACACACCCCTTTCCTAATTTTGAACGTTGCAGTGTTTCCTTGTTCTATACTGAGGAGTGCTTCTTGGTCTGAGTATAGGTTTTGCATGAACCAAATCAAGTTTACTTGTATTTCCATTCTTCGGAAGATTAGCCACTACTTGTTATTTACGTAATCAGCCTTTGCATAATCAAAGAAACACAGATAGACATTCTTCTGGTACTCTACCTTCTCCCAAGATCCATGTGACATTGGCAATAAAGTCTTTAGTCCTATGACCTTTTCTAAGCTCATCTTGTATTTCTGGTAGTTGTCTGTTGATGTACTGTTCTAGTAGTTTTTGGATAATCTTCAAGAGGATTTTGCTTATAAGTAATATTAGTGATATTGTTTGATACTTTCTATGCTCTTCCAGGTCTCTTTTTTTTTTAAATGAGAATAAATGTGGATCTCTTCCAGTTAATTGGCAAGGAATTTGTCCTCCAGATTTCTTGGCACAACCTGGTGAGTAGTGGAGCATCTGTTTGTTGAAATAGATCAATTGGTGTTCCATTAATCCCCGGCCCCTTGCTTTTCATCAGGTCCTTTAGAGTCACCTCTACTTCCTCCTTCATCACCATTGCCTCTTGGCCACATGATGTTTCGTGAATTTCTTCTATGTCAGCCAATTCTTTTGGATACAGTAACTCTGTGTACTCCTCCCATCTTTTTAATGCTGCTTGGATCATTCAATATTCTACCCATGTTGTTGTTGCTGTTATGTGCTGTTGGGTCACTTGCAAATCATAGCGACACTATGTACAACAGCCCTAAACTCTGGTCTGTCCTGTGCAAATCTCACTGTCTCTGATACACTCATCTCAATTACCCGAGTCACTGAATCAATCCACCTCATAGAGGGTCTTCCCCTCCTGCACTGTCCCTCCACCCTCCCTAGGATGATGTCCCTCTCCAAGGACCAGTCCCTCCTTACACCATGTCCAATGTATGTCAGAAGAAGCCTCAAGATCCTTGCCTTCAAGGAACAGCCCTGTTTAACCCTCTCCAAGTTGAATCTGTTTGTTTTCCTAACAGTCCATGGTACCCTCAATACTCTTCTCCAGCACCACAGTTCAGAGGCATCAATTCTCCTTCTGTCCTCTCTAGTCATTGTCCAACTCTATGACATATAACAAGTGATTGCAAAGACCATGACCTGTATCAGAAGCACCTTAGTCTCCAGAAAGACATCATTGTTCTTCAACACTTTGGAGAGATCCCTAACAACAGACTTTCCCATTGCAATATGTCTTTTAATTTCCTGGTGCCAAGAATGTTCACTGTGGAGCCAAGCAAACTAAAGCTGTGAACAATCTCAATCTCTTCGCCCTCCATTCTGATGCCACCAATTGGTCCAGTGGTGAGAATCTTTGTCTTCTTGATATTGAGCCTCAACCCATATTGAAGGCTTAAGTCCTTGACCCTCTGCAACAAGCACTTCAGGTCCTTCTCAGTTTCAACAAGCAGGGTTGTGTCATCTGCATAACACAGATTGTTGATAGATCTTCCACCAATCCTGACACCACATTTCTCCTCATAGAGCCCAGCCTCCTGGATAATCTGTTCTGCATACAGTTGAAAAGGTATGGAGACAGGATACATCCCTGGCATACGCCCTTCCCAATTTTGAACCATGCAGTGTTCCCTTGCTCTGTTTTGACAACTGCCTCTTCATCCAAGTTATAGGTTTGGCATTAGCATAATCAAGTGTTCTGGGATTCCCATTCTTCTCAGAATCAGCCACAGTTTGTTATGATCCACACAGTCAAATGCCTTTGCATAGTCAATGAAACACAGATA